CTTAAAGTTCTTTATTTTGGTTTGAGTGCTCTGTCTCAGCAAGTGAAGGTGAACATTGGATCATAGCTTATAAAATTTAAGCTGAAAGTGACAAATACTCTCAGTTTGACATCTATGTAAGTGGAAAGAGTAATTGGTTATTGTATGCTAATACCTATCCAATGGATTGCATCTCATTTCTGTTCTTACACTTGCTTAATTAAGCACTTAAAATGCCTGCTAATATCAATTTTTTCTTTTTCTTCTTTTTTCATCCCTTACCTGCATTTAGTGTGAGTGAAATAGAAGCACTGTATGAATTGTTTAAGAAGATCAGCAGTGCAGTGATTGATGACGGACTCATCAACAAGGTAACACACATTATATAATAGGTTGCTAACTTTTATCACATGAGACTATTTTTGCTTCTTGCGTTCATATATCCATACTAAAGATTACTCTTTTCTGAAGTTTTCTGCTCAAGACTTCCCACTTTGATTCAGTATTTCGGTTCTTCAAATTTGGCCTATTTCTAAGTTCCCATTTCAAGTAATTCGCCGTTCCCAACTTTTTTGAGGAAAAAAATAGTATTCATTTTAGTATATGTGAATTATTCTGGTGTTAGAGTGTTTTTAATTTTCAATTTATTNATAGTGTTCGTTTTACTATATGTGAATTATTCTCGTGTTGAGTGTTTTTCATTTTCAATTTATTGTTCTCCTATGCACGCAGTGATGTATGTTGGATCAATTGCACAAACATGCTTGGATCAATATTCTTGGCCCTTTTTATGTAAAAATTCTTGATGTTTTTCTGTAAACCTGAACCTTTTTCTTCGTATTACTTTTCCATAGGGTGAAATCCGAATGCAACAAATTGGTTTGCAAGCACGTCATTTCTTATAATTTTCCACATTTAGCATTGTCATTTCTTATTTTTTAACATTCTTTTCTTTCTTCTTCCATTCAAGAAATGAAAGATAGCAAACAAAACTGTAATTAACTTTCAATGTTTGACAAACGGAGGCTTAATGTTCCTAACCAGCTTACTGATGTACCTTTCTATTTCTCTTTCGCAGGTCAAGGTGGTGAACAACCATCTCGTATGAAACCTCTTCGTCATGGTTCAAGAAATCTGAAGGTGCAATTAAGAAAGTAGCGAGCGGAAGATGGAGTTTCAACTCATTACCTTACAAATACAGATGAAGACAAAAATCTGGGTTGAATTTTTTTGAATAGATATCTTCCCTGTTTGTAAACAGGTGATAATACTTTATCTTGGTTCCTTTCAACTTTCGAACAACAAACATATATTATGAGTGTAATGGTTGTTGGGCTGATTTACCCGCTCTTAAACATTATGGTCTTCACATTGTTCGTATTGTGTCTGACCATTTATCAACAAATTTTAATGATGCATTTTCTGATTATTTTGATTGCAGTATGCTACTTTAATAAATTTTATCATCACAAGCAGCAAGGATTCATTGAAAGACAGGAGGTAATTCTTGAAGAATTGACAGAGTCCATATTTAGATTTTTCCACTGTAGCTTTCATAAAAATATGAGGGTGGTTTTACTTATACAAGTAAAAAAGAATTTTAAAATTTGCCTTTTATGATTATTGGGTATTCTATTTTAAAATTGCTGGTTCTTTCAAGTTTGGGGTTGGGATGCTGCTGGATGATAGCTTCAGTTTTATGGCAATAGTAAGTGTCCCAGTACAGATCTCAATACATTTGGGATTTTGATATGTCATTGTTTCTTCGTAGGTAAAGCAAATGGTAGTGGCCACACTTGCTGGATCTGGCTTGAATCTTGTTGACGATGCAATAGAAAGTATTACTTTTTCTCTTTATTTTTCAATAAGCGAGCATTTTTAGACTATGAAACTTGTAATGAAATTGATATTCTCTTCTTCTAAGCAATATAAATGACAAATTCTTCGAGGATGGATCACTCAAGAATGCTTCACTTAAAGTGACTGTATGGACTTCTGAATAGCAAGGAATGAAAAGAGGTCTAGGTGGAAGATGACTATTTTACCCAATTTCTTGCATTTATACTGCAAGTCATTATTTATGAAAGTATAC